GTCATTGGAAATTTGCCATTAAGTATAAGTCACACACATTTCTGTGCAGGCATATCTGCAATTTTGTGATTAATTTAAGAAATTCTTTTTCAGTGAAGAGAAATTAAATTCAGGTTCAATAGCAAATAAAGAGCCCCATATTTTTTAGCTTCAAGATGTGTGTGAGATAATTAAAAAAACAACAACAAAAAAGTATTTTTACTTTGTTTCTTTGGGGTTCATTTATTTTTTTAATGTATAATTCACAGGAAATTGAATACACTTCCCCTATGGAAGATGAGAGAATGAGAATTTGAAAAATAAAGATGAACCATACTTTCTTGCTGGAAATTATTTCATAATATTCAATTAAAAGAATAAAAATGTTTTGAAGAAAAAAAATGAAAATGAATGATTGACATACATTAATTTATATGCAAAACATTTCATTTGCATATAAGTCACATGATCATTCCAATAAGAAAACACAGAGGGCCTTTAGTTTTTCTTCTCCTTTATTTGTTCACAATTTATTACTTGCGTAAGATATAGCTGCACATAAATGGTTTAAAGCAGTCAACAGTCATCTTGGGACTGAAATACATGCCACTGTCTTTGTTGGGTTTTTCAGAAAAAAGTGAGGGGGAGATTAACAAAAAAAAAAAAAAAATGAAAAAAAGAGGTTTGTGATAAATTCTCACAACCAGATTCACATAGACAACAGGTTAACAAAGACAAAAGGTCTTTAAGTAGCTTCTTATTTATAATTCTAAGCCTCCAATTGCATTAGAGTGTATAATAGGCAGTTACAGGTATGTTAATATTTATGTAGATTGTATTTGAAGATTAAAATGAATTAATCCTGTAATTAATATATTTAGTTAAAGATTCAGGATACTTGCCTAAAATTAAAATTTGTGTAATACAAAAAAAAAAAAAAAATTCAATTACTTTAATTCACTTTTGAATAAAAGTCAATCTGCTATCAAGTACATCTGGCTATGAGAATAAACTAAGCAGTTTAATATTCATCCTCACTTAAATCATCTTTGCTATAAAAACAAAATTTTTTTTCTGATTAAAGAGTGTCTTTCATACACACGTTCAACCTATCCACAGAAATGACTATCTCACTCCCAATTTTCTTTATTTTTATAGAATCTTTTCTTTTTGCCAATTCTGGAGATTTTACACATGTCAAGAATGAGGAATGGACAGCAGACCCTCTTTATATTAAGGTGAGATTTTCTTTAAATTTAGAAACTAAATGAATTTTTTTTTTTTTTTTTTTTTAAATAGGATTTAATTTTGAACATGCCCATTAAAAAATGTTTCATGTATAAGAAAAATAATTCATGCAGTTGTGAACATGCTATAAAGAAAATTAAGAAAACAAAACAAAAAACATCCATGTGAGGAAGAAATCAAAAGCAGGTAACCTCTAGTCATACATCTTCAGGTAATATGAAATCAGGAAGGATAGGTTTGTTTGGTGTACTTGAGTCAAGTAAAAAGTTTACAACCTAGTTTTAATTAGAAAGAAAAATGGAAGACAAAGGTTTTCCCATCCTTGTTTTTAATAAGAGTGGACCAAGAAAATGAGAAATATCAAAGAGTGATTAAAAAAAAAAAAAAAAAAAAAAGTGACAGGGTGTGTGTATGGGTGGGGGGGAAGGTTTTGAACCATAATGAGAGCAGGTGGTAAGAAACTATGAGGAGATTTTAAAAAGTGCCCATAAACTGCTTCCTGCTGTTGATAGTGTGGAAAATTTCAGGATTTATATTTAGTGTTTGATAACTTATGGTTTTAAAACAAACAAAAAAGAGGAATGCAAAGTGGAAAAATTCCTTCTTTAGACGAAATTTTTTTTCTCTCAAGTACCTCATAATCTTTGATGCTCTGAAAATAAGCAACATTCAGAAAGAGAGGAATGTGATAGGCTTATTTTTCAATTCTAATGATATTTGAAGTGATGGGACAACAGAACTTTGGGAGGAAGAACAATTTGCAAAACAAGTTTGCACCCCACCCTGCCCTTCAAATTTTACATTTTAGATTTGTTATTTCTAAACTTAAACCAAAGTATTGTTTTTAGTAATAATAGCATTATTATTTTGTCTAAAGATTCAGCCTATTTTTAGGTTCACAATTCATTTGACTCCACATCATACAATTTAATCTGAGAAACAACTCCGAATCATGCAGACTATGGTAAATTTTCTTCTATAACATAAATTTTTTATTTTTAAAGCTTTTTGCAAAATTAAAATCATGTTTCTACTTTAAATAAAAAAAATTATTCCACCTTCAATGCAAGAATCTTTATAATGTATTCAACCATATTATTCTAAAGAGATTTTCCCCACTGGTTATTTAAATTTCTGTCTGTTAAGAATTAACAATATTAATTGGATCTGTTTTATTAAAAGGTTTTAGAATACTTTCTCACCATATCTATTTTTACATTTTTTTCAATATTTATATATATTTTTTGTTTTAATGCAGGTGTTTTGTATAAAAACTTACCAGACATTTTGTGGAACTTTTACAACTGAAAAGTAAGGAAATTAATTTAAATACAAGAGCAGATATTTTAGTGCTGTCTAACTGAGAAACATTGTGAACAAGTGTGCTGGAAAAAAACAAAATACTATACTTGTTAGCAAATGCTAAATGGTTTGAATATTTCAGGATATCTATAACTGACTCCTTTTGATGACAATCCATATCTAAACTAATAAGTGTTAAAGCACATTTTATGTAAACAGATATAGCATATTTAACACTTTCTAAGACAAAAAAAGAAAGAGGAAGGAAGAATAAAAGGAGGAGGTAACAATTATTTTCAACTAGCAGACTGACTTCACACAGTAAACTAACTTGCTTCATAGAGAAACCATGATGAACTGTATTGATAGTATATCCCACAAAACACTTCTTCCAGAGAAAGAGATGAAACCAACCCAAATCTAAGAGGACATCACAAATGCCAAAGTAGGTAGGCATTAATAGCACCAATAAGAAAATAATGGTTCAAAGATGTTGAGGGTTTCGCATGAAGGATTTAAAACTAGCTAACTTAATAAGCAGTAAGAGATAAAAAGGTGTGTGTATATATATATATATATATACATACACACACTATTATATTTGCCAACATAATCATATATAAATTGCACTCCAGCAATAATAGAATGCTGTTTAGTTAATTAGAGAGTTGCAGCAACACATTTCACAAATAGGAATCTAATAAATTTTTATATGTTACCATCATTATTACAAAGTTTTTATTGCTTCCTATAAATTGCGGATCCTATTCTAACCTAAAATGAATTGAACTTGACTGGCTGAGACAGAACACAGGAATTATCTCCCTTGGATGCATTTTTAATTGTAAGCGCTTTTGCCGGCTTACTATTATTATTATTCTCTGCTCTATGTATTTAATACATATAATTATAATAAAACCCAAGTTTCATGTGTAACACGTTTTGCTTTCACAGCTGCTAATAATGAACAATAAATCAGAATACTTCTATGTTTAGAATTTAAATCATTTTATATGCATCTCTTTATGTTCAGTATAAATAAAGGTGCTTAATGACTTAAATGCTTGACAATCATTAAAATACAGATAATTTACAAAAGTCTATCACTACTGCAAAAATCAAATTCATCCTAGACAGTAGAATTTGCATGTGCATGCATATTCAATATTTCTAAAAATTAAAATTTAAAAATAAAAACTTATCTTTATTTTAAAAAAAAAAAGTAAAAAATTTTGAAGCATATCTTTCTCTCAAACATCATACATACGCACATGCATGGAAAAAATAAAGTTAAAAATATTAAATAACAAAGGTTGATGCCAAATTCTGAAAAGTGGCTAATCCCAAGATTTTTTTTTTTCATAAAACAAAATGCAAAAGTAAGAAAGATGTTATACAAAATATACACAAAAACTGCTTTTCACTGAAAATATAATCGACCCCTTTTTGTTTTAATTGTTTTTTTGTTTTTTTTATTTTCTTACTTTCAAACTTATTTATCCCTTTTCTCACCAAATCTTATTCTTGGCGTTTGTAATTAGTTCTTTCATTGTTGATAGTATGGTGAAGAGCAAATGAAAGTAAACCAACATATGTCAGAAATAATTTTTGATAATCCTCATGCAAGTGTAAGTGGGTGGTAGAGTGGGAGGTGGGTAATGTAGGTAGATTTTGGTTTTTCTGCCTTGGCAAAATCTCCAAGAGAGAGAGAGAACTTAAGTTATTTTATGAGGGGAAAGAAGAAAAAAAACAAAAACATATAATGCTATTCTAGCATTCCTCAACCCTATTAGGCAAAGATGTTTTGAATAAAAAAATAAAAATAAATAAGAGGGCACAATAAGCCACATTTCATTTCCAGCAGAGAGAATTAGTCCCGCTAACACATGCACACAGAGGAGATGGCCTAACATTGTTTTGATGTTGGGCATCCATGGAGTTCTTATGTAGCACTAACCCAGAAATGCACAGCTTCACTTGAAATATTTTAAGGATGTTGATTTGATTTCTTTTAATTTTTCATGTTCCTTGTCTGCTTTTAATTTTAATTTTTGCAAATAGAGAAATAGGATGGGTAGAGAAGAGTATATACAAAACAAAAAAGTTAAAAATTGGAATTTTATTCCAATTTTTGAATATTTTAGAGCATATTCATGACTCGATCTGAAAAGGAACAACCCACCATTGATATTTTTTCCAATATGCAAGACAAGCAACATCATTTCCCCCAAAAATGTCTTTCTTGTGTGTGAATACATGGGATAATCACAAACTCCCAAGACAAGATGCAGTATATCAGCAGTACTGTCTTTTTAAATATTTTTTTTTTTTTTTTTTAAAGAGGAGGGAAATTAAAAAATAAAATGAGGTGGAGGGATCCCCCCCCAATCCCCCCTTTAAAAATGGACATTTTTTTTTTTTTTTTGTAAAACAATTCAATCCTCTTAAAATAAAAAAAATCCCCTTAAAGATCAACATTCCGAGAAACTTGGATGCTTCTCCATTCTTTTTCCACCATGTCTGACAGAAGTGGAATTAAGTTGGTCATCTGCTCTGTACTGCTGCATTCTCTCAGCAGGAATTCTGCCACCATTGGCCAGGCCAACATCTGCAGAACTATAATTATTGGAATGTGAATAGTCATGGTAAATTGGATATCCAGGTATGGAAGGCATGTTATGGGTCATGCCCCTCTGCATTAGAAGCTGCTGGGAACAGTCCTCACCCATCCCCTGTAATGGTTGACAGTAGGGCATGCTGTAGGGGTTGTGGTTAGCCATTAACTGTGGGCCATTGGAGATACCAACGTCACCGTCATTCAGCATGTTATTAATCATGTTCTGTTCTGCTTCGGACGTGTTCATATTGGTGTACATGAGAGGCTCTGTCTCGTAGTCATACAGTTTCTCTTTTACTGCGAGCTTCATCAGATCTTCATCGAGCACTGGCACCTTATCAGAAGAAAAAGAGTTATTCTTTTGCAGGTCAGAATCCTTTGACAACAAAGAAAGACGGTTTTTCTCAATTGAGTCAGTATACGAGGGGGTCAGGGACTCATTTGAGCTGACTGGGCTGAGACGATTCTGCTCTTGGTTCACCTGCAAATTCGTCTGGCAGTACTCACTGACAAGCTCGCTGTCAATAACAGAGCAGTCAAACGTTGAAAGTTCATCTGCTCCACTTTGCACGTCCTTTTGGTAGAGAGACTGTTTGCCACGAGGAGTCACGTGTGTGGGGTAGTCGTAATCTGACATGATTTGTTTGGAAGTCTGGTAATCGGAATCTCCACAAGTTTCTCCACTGACTGGACTTTTCACTGAAAATGCAAAAGAAACAAAGGAAAATTATTCATTTGATAACAGATTAATAGAAAATGTTTGAAAACTCTATAAATAATCGCTATTAAAAGAAAAAAAAATGTTATATATTAATTTTTCAGTATTTTTATTTACATTAGAAGTATACTTGATGGTTAAGTGGAAGTGTTACAAAAAGTAATCGGATAAGTGAGAGGACAGGCAAGTGTTAAGTTTGTTAGACTCAAATCAACAAAGAAATCTAAGAAAAATGTATCCTTTCAACTAACAATTGGTCTCCAATTTAAAATGTATTTCTATATTAACCTTTAGCACTCTGCATTACTTCCCTTTCTACTGCATTCTTTTTCAATGTTTCAATTGCAGTATCCTTATTGTTAATTTCACTCAAAGTTGTTTTCTGTTGCTATAGTAGGATATGACAACACAACTATGAAATTCAGGGATCAGAATCATCTTCAGTGGCAGGATAAGATTTTATGCAGCAAATGAAGTCATGTACAAAGTGATAAAGGTTAATATAAATATACATAAAATCTTTATCTTCACATGTGTTTTCTTAAAAATAAAAGAAAAAAAACCCAGAATGATGGTTATACTAGGGTTAGCAATTAGAAAGTTCTTAAAGCCTAAGGCAGCAAAGATAAACAATCTTAATTACTTGTTTATAAAGTGATTGTTGTTGTTAGTAAATAATTCGAGGAGAGAAACAATAAATAGTCTGTCTATGAAGAAAAAAAAATGAAGCTAATATCAGATATTTAGGCATACCAATCACAAAATAAAATGAACATTGAGTTTTTATAGACTTGCAGCTAATGATATATTTAATATAAATTGAGCTAACCTATCAGTATAATTTTTTATTATTTTGCATTTGGTCAATGTTCATCTTGTTATATGCAATCTGCATATGATCTTTTGGAGTAAAAAATGTATGAAGTTTTTTAAAACTTAAAAAAAAAAAAATCAGTTAAGTTTTTAGACTATTTCAACAGTTGTTATTTTTTAAAAAGATTATTTTTTCTTTTTTCAAAATGTAAAACTATCAAAAAAACAACTTTTTAGTAATAGTTTTAAGATTCATTATAGGTTTATGCTTAATGAAAGATAGGATTAAAGGTTAATCTTACATCATGAAATTAACTACTTTCATTAATTTTTGAGCCATTCACTTCATATTATTCTGAGCCAAAATAGTGTGAAAATAAAACTAATTAAAAAATTAAAGAAGTCTAAACTTTCTAGAAAAATCATTAACTACAAAATTTACATAAAAAATTATTATAATCCTATTTTTAAATGAGACATTGGAAATGTGTGAAATGAGTAAACTGAATTCTGTTATGAACTCAAAAAACTGAACAGAATAACAGTTTAAAGATTCAACTTTATCCAAATATTTTTTCCAAAGTTTATATAATCAACTAAAGTTGTTAATATAAAAGTTCTATATTCTGTTAAATGTATATTTATGATGCAAAGTTATTTCATAAATTGTATGGATCTAAATATAAAATGATCAAGAGAAAACTCTTGTCTATCTACTAAATATCTAATTAAAACCTCAATAAAACACTTGCAATGACTGACCATTAAAGGAGTTCTTAAAGGCATTTCCTTGAAACTGACAGAAGGTGTGTTTTTTTTTCTTCAAGTCTTACCACAGAAAAATTTGTACAATCATCATGTTAAAACGCTTATTTTAGTAAGGCACTATGGTACATAGGACTGGAAAAAAAAGGATTTATGAGCTGATGTAAACCACTTCTCAACCGCATATACCTGAATATATAAAAGTATGGTTGCATAAATTATCTCACAAACAGCTACTTTTGCTCATAAATGCAAGAGTATCTTAAAGTTGTATAATGAACTACCTTTATAAAAAAAAAAAGAAAGAAAAAAAAGTAAGTGATAGCATTTTTGAAAAATCTGCAATATAAGCAATAAGGCAAAAAAAAAAAAAAATATAGAAGATGAATAGCATTATTTAAAAGACAGGCAAATTAGACAAAGCATAGCTTAAAAGCAAGCAGAAAAAATAAATCCACCAAAACTGACTTATGGTGGAGTAATAAGATCTAAGTTATAGAAGCAAAAAAGAGTGCAAAAAAAAAAAAAAAAAAAAAAAAAAAGCAGAAAAGCAGCCCTCCTTAGTCTGCTTCATGTATATTAATTAGTGAAGATTTAAGTTAGTAATTAAAGGTTAACATTCTCATTTTAATCTCTGGATATTTGATGATAGTAGTTTCCTTTTAAAATGAGGTAAACCTTGAGGAAAAAAAAAAAAAAAAAAATTTTTTTTACTCAGAAGCATTTTATTACCAACCCACTACTCCCAGGTTACCTCTTTTTAAGAGAGATCTATTATCATTAAATATTGAGTATTAAATTGTGCAAGGGTATTTTTGCAACATCCAGCAAAGCTGAAATGTAGAAAACAAATGAAATTGAGTCCATCATGTTCTGCCTTAGAGTTGGGGTATTGTGTACTTCAGTTGATAAGATACTGCTGTCTTCTTTAACAAGCTTAGCTCCATGTAAATATTTTAAAATACAAATTGAGAAAGCCTATTTTAAAAGGTCCTTTTCTCTTGAGCTTAAAAATTTGGATTGGAATGAGTAGAGGTTAAAATATGAGATATGCTAAAATATATAAACAATTTATGGGGAGTACAGAATTTTATTATAGCTTTAAAATTTAAAAAAGTATATAATACATACAATTTTTTCCCTTGCTATTCTTCCCCTTGTTTTAATATATTTGTATGTATTATATATACTTTTTTTAATATCTGTTTTTAAAGCTATAATAAAATTATTAGATCATTGCAAAAGTTTGTGCTCAATTAGAAAATTAAAAACAAAATTTTACAAACAAAAAACATTAGTCAAGTACTTTTCTTTTTAAAACAACTGTTGCAGAAATCACTGCAAAAACACGATCAAGCTTGTTTTGCTCTGTCAGAGAATATGGCATCCATGTGTTGAGTTTGGAAACAAAACAAATTCTCTTCAAATGGTGAATGCCAGTTGAGATATCAATTTGCAAACTCTTAGCAATCTCTTCCATTGCAATCTTCAGTTTATTCTCTACTCTGACAAGCAGAGCATCTTTATCAGCAGTGAAGGTCACCTTCCAATGTTAATAATTTATGTTGGTTGATCATTTAGGTTAAAATCTCCCTGATAAAATCTATGAATCCACCTTTTTGACCATCTGAAGAGCTGAAGCACAATCCAAATAAAACTTCTGAATGTTTTTTTTTTGTCGCAGTTCCAATGCTTGCTCCTTCCCAAACTTCATAGAGCATATGGCAAAAATGCAACTTTTCATCCCCCATCTTTAAGACATTCATTTGTGAACAAAACGTCAACATTCAATATAAGCTGACTTGCAAGTCAACGATACAAAGTTTCAATCTAAAACACCAGAAATTGGCACCAAAACAAACACCAATGTCAATTTGTAATCATTCTATATTAACAATGAAAATTGGACACAAACATTTGCAATGATCTGATATATACAATTTCATATTAACATCTTTCTAATCTACAGAATCTTTGCTAGATTTTATGACTCTTTGTTGAAAGATAGACTCTTTAATATTAAATAGATATATATTCAAACAAATTGATCTAACAAGTGAATTCTTTGTAGATCTGCATCTGTAAAGCAGACAAAAATCAGTCAAATATTGAACTTTATAAGAATTTAATAAAGAACATAATTCTCTTAAATGAATCGATGCATTTGCTGAATATACAATGGAAATGCCAATCTTCTGAAAGCCATTCAGGTAGCAGATATTTGCAATTTTGATTTAACAAAAACCTCAATGAGTTGCATCTAACTAAAAAGAAAACATCTAGCAACTATGTCAACTAATTGATCCATTACAAATTGAGCAGACTAACAACTACAACAAAAGTCCAAACAATGCTTTCCTGTTATGAATATGACAATGGCAAAACTTGAAGTAAATTATACAAAAGAAATTTAAGTTCACTAACAATGGGCATAATTTCCTTTGTAGTTTTTATTGCTTGATTTATTTGTTAAAATTTGTAGTTAAGTCTATGTCAATGGTGCATGTGATATACTGAATTTGTTTAGGAGTCGAAATGTGTTTGGAACGACAGATACATGTAAGACTAAGTGCAATTCTTCAGTTAATTGCAATAAAATGGAGATATATACACACACATACATATGGAAATAAACATATGTGTACACGTGTATATTTTATGTATCTAAATTTATATCTTATAGGCATTTTGACAGAAAATTGTAAAATTGTGAATGCATTTGTAAAATGAAATGATTTTATAAATGGATTACAGAATTTACTAATAAGATTATTTAACTCTTGAAATTCTGAAGAGACAGTGATGTCTTTAAAATCTGCTTTCTTCAGATCTTCAGTCTATTATCATTCAGTTTTATAGTGAAATAAAAAAAGCTCTCAAAAATACACAGAAAGACAGACAGCATAAGTCTCAACTGCTTTACTTTTTTCAGTAGGGTAGCTAGAGATAAAAAAAGAAAACATTTTATTCCTTTCCATGTTATCAGAAAAGAAAACATTTCTGTTAATTACAAGTTATATTACAAAATTGTTTTCTGTGACATGCTCAAGCCACATTACCTGATGATAAGAGAATATATTGGTTAAATCATAACAAACAGAATGAACATACTCAGATGAATTTATAATTTTTTTTTTTTTTTACAATATCTGAAAATGTATCTGAAACATTATTTTGTGACAACTTGTCTTTTGTTGTAAATATAAAATTATAAGAGCCCTATTCTGTCAGTTATGTTTGCCTTAATTTTGTGACCACTGATAATTGTCCTGATTTTTTACTAAACCTACATTTTTAATACATTTTCCTATTTAGTTAGTGCAAACAAATGACTAAAAATAGTGGAGATAAGTCAGTGGGCTGTAAAAAGCTGAAATCTTGCCTATGCATACTACAGATTTCAAGTGTAGATGAAATGAAAATATTCACCTCTTTCTCATCTGAATTTTCTAGCTCACTTCATGAAAGTGGATGAAAATTTTGAACTCCTATCTGTAATATCATGCATGGGTTATATAAACAGCTAGTATAAATATAAAAGTTCATCCTGCTTAAAACTATTTGCTTAAAACTATTGAATTTTAATCAGAATGAACACTTCTGTAGCTACAAATGAAATCATGTGTCCAGTAAAAGCAACCTGTATAGAATAGAGTGTGACACTTGATGAAAAACCATTATATAAAAAAAAAAAAAAACAAACAAACCCAAGATACAAAAAAAAGAAAATCTGTTATAGGGCCAAATTCATTAGCCTGATTTAGTGATCCTATGTTGTCAATGTTTTAACCCTATCAAGCTTGACCAAAAGAAGTTAGCTTGATTCTTGGCCAGCACTTTTCATATTCCCACTACATTGGGAATTTAGCTCGCAGTTTCCAAGTTTCTGATAAACAAGGAATTTAGAAAGAATTCAAATGGATTAGCTTTAAATTTACAAAAAACCTGTAAATTCATTATACTGAAAACCATTTTAAGGTATACATTTATTCAATAAAATTTCTCTTTATATATAGTTTGGTGGCTCTACTACAGTCTTATTAACTGAACATACATATTTCTAGTAATAATCATAATAGATAAAAATCAAATTGTAAGCCAGAGAATAATTTTCACACAACTTGATTGTTTCACTCATAAAATTGTTTGATTAAACTTTGAGAGAAACAAAGAAATAGAAAAAATTTAAAAAACTGAATTTGAACAAAATCTGCATGAATACTTAAAAAATGTGCAAGTTAGATGGACTGAAAAGGTTACCTAGACTGCATATTTAAATCTTTCTTCCCAACAGGATACACAGTTCTTTTTTATACACATGTCAAAACAATCAAGTTGTGGTAAAAATTAATCTGTCTTTAATATCACTAAGTAAAAAGTCCAGTAATGATAAAAATCAAGTTGTCTCAAAATAATTATGCTTTAATATTTAACAGTCATTTGGCGAATTTAAAAATACAAGATTATAGTATTACTTACAGGAGTAAATAGAAAGCATTGCAGAGGTTATTGTAAAAAAAAAAAAAAAAAAAAAGAACAAATAGAACAGATATAGGAGGAAGCTTGGCTGAAGCAAGAGAAAGTAAGAAATATAGCTAAGGCAGCAATAAGAATAGAATGAGAAAAAAAGCAACATAAAAGGAGAGAGAGAGAGAAAAAAACATTATAGATTCCTTAGAGAATTGATTTTATAAGTGTGTAACAATAGTAAAGAATGAGAAAGGGAAAACTTCTAGAAAGTGACTGTAAATTAATGATTAGGCTATCCAACCTTGTAGCTCATGTATGAAGAGAAATGCTATCCATAAAGAAGTGAGATTGGAATAGGATATTTAGAAGACCATGGATGGAGTCCAATCTCAGAATGAAGAGGGGAGAAAGAATGAATTCCAGTGAGATATGGCAATATAACACCCACAAAAGAAATACAAAATTCTAGAAAACCAAAATAAAGCAAATAAGAACATTCAATTTTGAAGCCAACATTTTATGAGGAACATATCAGCACACCAATTAGCCATTTTTATGCTCCAGTTTTAGTGTGAAATGATTTGAACATGTGATTAAAAGAATCACCAACTGCAAAACACTGACAAGACTCATGACTGATTATGAACTTAGACATTCATATACAATGTTAGTAAATGTTTCTAAGTCAACTTCCTCTAATTGTCAAGCAATGTGAAGCTTTTTACAAAATTCTTGCTTTTATGCCTTCCTAAATAATACTGTAGAAATAGTACATTGATTGTGGGAATATTCTAAATTCTGACCATGTTCTGATTTGATTTGGACTGGCAGTCAAATTAATTATTATCTTAGAGTTACAAGCTATCATGTTGGTGCCAGTTTAATATTTGGTTTGAAGAAATTCAAAAGACTTTCTGTTAGTATTTGTGTAGTTTTCGTTAGAAACTATATATGAGGGATGTTTCAAAAGTCATGTTTTCTATTTATTTTGACAGAAACTAAAATAGAGAGAACAGAATAACACTGTTTAATAGAACAAGGATAAAGCCACAAAACCTTATTTTTATACAGTTACCATGACTGGCTATGAATTTCTTAGGTGCTCTCAATCATGTGAATGGACAGCGGTGCACGGCCATTTGAAATGTGGTTTGTCACACACATTACCAAACTGCCTAACTGTGCTCACATTCACTTTTTAGTCTCTCTAAATGTTCAGAAAGTGTTGATGAATGGCAGTAGGTGTAATTTTTTCTGCATAGAGGAATTCAATAATACACTTTTGCTTCATATGTATTTTCATGCCAGATGCCTTTTTGTCAGACTTCTATTAGTAACAAAGTGGAACAAAACTTGTGGGTTATTGGCAGGAAGCTTCTACTGTCATACCATCAACTTCTGCCATTATTGGCAAGCATAATAAAATATCTTTCGCTATAAATATAACTGAGCAGAGTAGAAGTTTTATTGTAAGAAATTTTTGATGGGTAATAGAGCTTCAGAGTTTTACATCTAGAGCCAAAAATTGTCTGCCAGGAGAAATTACAAAGTTAAGATTCTGATCTTTATACTTAAAAAATTAAATTATGTTAACAAGTCTCTTACTGGCTTTCTTAGTCTAGTTGATAAAGTCTAAGGAAAGGTTTGAAGCTAAAAGAAAATTCCCACCCCTAACTTTTATGAGAAGCTGCCAAGTCTCTCTCCACCCAACAACATTAAAAAATTAATTTTCAATTGGAAACATTGTTTAGACTTGGATAGGCAGTACATATATTTAGTAGGTGAAATATTTATATATAGGAGGGATCATTGTGTTGAGTAGTTGGCAATTTTTTCTCTTTCTGGGCTAAGATCTTGCACGAAAATCTAATTGAATTGAACACCCAAAAAACACCAGCGATTTCTGCCAACTCTTCAGCAACAATCTAAGATTGCTTTTCTAATTCTAACATTTCCATTTGTGCAAGAGAATGAAGGATGACCAAGATACAATAAGAATGCACATTGCACAATTGTAGGCTGACATTCTATTCATAGCCAAGTACTTAAAGCTTGCGCAAGCATGGCCACTGTTCAACAGCAATTCTACCAAAGAAGAAAAAATTGTTTTGAATAAATACTTAGCTCTTTAAAATTTGCATACTCATTATATAAGAGGAGAATGTGGGGAAGAGGGGAAACTACTAGTGACATGCTTTAAATCCACTTAATCTGCTAAGTGGCATCATGCAACTCACTACGACTGTAGGTATATGCTACCTAATGACACAATAACTAAACCCTAATCCTGTGTCTGGGTAATTTTCTTATAACTCTTATATTACCATATTAATTTCCAACTTATTTCAATATTTTTTAAACCCTTATTTAATTTTAAAATTTATGAAATAGGTAAAGACTTCAAATAATTTATTTGATCAAATTCAAAAGAGAATAAATAAAGGAAAAATCATCTGGATTTTTATATTATCTTTTTTAATTTGTATTTAAAATGAAATTAAGAAAATCTTGTGTCTAAATGATTTAATTTCTGCTTCCTAAAAATTCTTTTGATGTCTTTTTGAATTTAGTGATTCATTTTTTTTTTTATTATTAAAGCTAATCGAGTTTGCAGGTTATTTAAAGCCAGAAAATATTTTTAGATTGCAAGATTATTTTTGGAAATAGTGAATTAGTGATATAAACCCTACTAATTAATCCATGATTTGGTTAAATTTTGAAATTACATCGCTAATTATCTCCCTTGAAAATGATTTTGGAGAACTTATAGACTTAACAAAAATTGATTTCTTTATTTCATGTCTACGTGACCAAAAAGAAAATGCAGATATAAACAATATTAATGTATTATTGCGATGTACAGAAGGTCACAAACTAAAGTAAGATCCTACTAAAAAGAAGAAATTCTTTTTAGAAAAGTTGTCCCGCTGTTGTATAAACCTTTTGAACGCGTTCAATTTCTTCTGACTTAGCTACGGGAAGTCTAGTCAGTCAATTTAGAATGTGAACATGTGTGACTATATCTATGTTTCCAGGTGTACCTCAGAAAAGGAAACTTGGATTTCTTTTCCTTTCTCATAAAAGAGGAAGTTTGCCGGCTAAGACAGACAAAGCAGAAGAAAATTCACAAAAACATTCATACCTCTTGTGGGCGTCTTGATAGAGTTGCTAGTCGATGAAGTCTTTCTTTTACGACTCCATAGCTTGGAGATAAACTGAAAAAGTTAAAATAAAATAGAACAAAACAAAATCATTTGCAGAAGGAGAAAGGAATGGACAATTCAGAAGGGGAAAAAGAAGTTGGACGTGGGACAAGGGTCATCTGGGCAGAAAAATCAGGACTTACATTTCCGGAAGATGTTGAAGGGTTGGGAGTGGAGGAACGGTCCCCTGCGCCACCACTGCAGATTGATTTTATACATGCAGGAATCCAAGAGGAGTTCTTTATAGCCTTCTTGTACTCTTTGCAGACCTGAGGCAAATTGAAAGATGTTTTATTAAAGAGAATTTTTTTGTGATTATATTACTGAAATAGAAGCAGATGAAAAGTTGAAGCACAAAATATAAAATATTTTTTTAATTTTAAGAGCTTTTTAACATTAAAAATTCAGACAAGTTTAGTTTATATCACAGCAAACAAAAAGCAGGTTCAGTAAACGTAAAAAATACTGATTTAGTCAAATACCAACCCATGTTTAAAAGGATAACCACAAATTTGTTAAAAATTGCTGTGGATGGGGTGGGATGATGCATACAAAATAATAGTACAGTGCAACCACATATTCCTCCATCTGACTGTATTTTATAGCTGAAAATTTATGAAGTAATTTTATATGATGACAAGTCCTGTAACTCAGAGTTGTAAGGGCATTGCATGTACTGTAAGTCACAGTAGAAGATAGCCTGACCCAACCTCCTTCAGGCTGGTTTGAATTCAGAGTTTTCCTTCTCCTAGACTGGTTGTCACTCAAGGCTATATATAGAACCCAGTCTGCCCTGTTATTTACCCATAGCTGGGGAGGTGGAGAAGAGATGGCTTCATATCTTTCTCCAAAGGTATTAACATGTAAATGTAACGTAATGAACTTGACGGGAATTCAAATTTGGCTCTCAATCCAAGCTGCAATCCATTACTTCACTGTGCCTCAATTTTATATGCAAACTATCAAATTGTTAAATGATAAACATATCAATATTTCCATGAGTGTACAGCAGTGGGAATTAGTTCAAGAGTAATATACCTAATCTAAGAAAGGAGCACTATTTGAAAGTGGTGTTTATTTTAATATCTAATATGTAAAAGATTTACAATAATATTTGAAAGTAACTAAAGATTTAAAAATATGATGTTAAGATTGATAATTTACAGTCAGACCAAGGTTCTGATTATGACATTTTGGCTGTTGTTCACTCCAGCTTTCTTCAGGTATCAATCAATCTGGATAATCTTCAGGGAATTTTGAAGTGAAGACTTTATTTAATCTGTGGTGAGTAGATTGTTCTCACTCTGCATGTCTAGGGGTATCATATATTGACCTTTTTTTTTTTTTTTTTAAGTACTGAATAATTGCTATTTCTGTTTTCACTACTCTGACTAGAGATGGAACTCACGATTACTATGGCAACTATATTTATTTCCCGAAGTTTGCTTTTATTGACAGACACCTAAAGAAGGCTGGAGGATATAACAGCCAAAATTTAATAATGAAAACAAAAATTACACTAATCCTATTGAAAATAATAACTCCATCCAAAAAATTCAGACAGAAGCTAAGAATTGAACAAATTGTTTTCCCATTATTCTGTCTCTTACATTAAACAACAGGATTCCAGTCTTATCTGGATTAAAAATGGATTTGATACATCCAAGCCAATAATTACTTAAGAAAGTGTTTAATTAATAGTTTAATACATAGAACTTCACAATTTCACGTAAATATGCCAGAGGAAAGGGAGATAACTGATAAGTTATTTCCCTTAGCACATATTTAAAAAACAAACAAAAAAAAACAACTTTTTTTGTCTAAATCTACTTTTAAGTAGACACGAGTCATACCTTCTCATTCATAAAGCAATGAAAGATAAATATGAGAAGTCCTTGCAAACTGTTGAGTACAGTAAAGATGTAGGCCATAACAACTGACTGCTCGTTCACATAGAACAAGCCAAATCCCCAAGTGAGACCCAGTAGGACTATCAACACCACTGCTCCTTTGATCCAGCCCCTGAAACAAAAAGAATAAATCAGAATGTGAAGGAAAAAACCTTTTAAAACAGAGAAGTTAAAGAAAAAAAAAACAACATAGTAATTTAAGACTTAAGAATGTTATTTGTACAGTTTTAATAAAATTAACACAATTATACATTTAATGTATAAGAAACTAAATATTATGAATAGGGCATTTATTGTTATTAATTAGCTAGATTATGAAGGTTAATTTTAAACTGAAATACCAAAATAAACATCCAATAAATTTCATGTATTGTGTTCAAAACTGAATATACCAATTTTTATGCTATTCAAAAGTGCTATTTTCATAATCAGAACTCAAAAGTCTTTAATAATGGTGACATTTCATTCTGGTATTATGCTGGTTAACGTGGCAACTTGAGTATATATTTTTGCATGACGATTGGTATTAGTTCTATGAAAAATATAGACAAATAGTACAAAAGATATTGGTGAAAGTACTCTTAAACATTTTATTTACTTTTTGCAATGGAATTTGATTTTCCTGGTGGTTTTCAGCATCAATTTGTTTTAAGCCACTGAACTCAATTACTTCTAACTTACAAAGCAGAATATTTTACAAATTCTTACTGTATTGGCTCTAATTATAATTTACCAGAATTGATTTTCTTTGGATTTCACTTACATATTTCATAGTTGTTGCACAATTCATTTTTGATAGTCTATCAAACATATCTGGAATATTAGGGTAAATGACATTTGGCATTTGTGTTTACTAAATCATTTGATAATTAAATGTAGAAATACAGCAATTATTTCTAGATTGTTTTTTTTACTGAAATTAGTAGTTTTGTCTATTTTTAAACTATATTTAGTTGTGATTTTTTTCCCTTTGGATTTTATTAATTTCTATGAAATCTTTGTGAAAGAACAAGTGAATCTGATTTCTAATTTGATTCACTTATACAAAATCTGAATGAGGTTAAAATTTTAAAATTAATAAAAACAAATACAGTGTAACCCGGATATAAGAGAGTTGTCGGGACCGGAGAAGAAGTCTCTTATATCCGGGTTTCTCTTATATCCAGGTCTGGTCTATTTTATATACATTAACACAGGCTCTAATTTGGGACCAGAGAAAATCTCTTATATCCGGGTTACACTGTAAATGTTATATTCGACTTATTACTAAAAATATTCAAAATAGCATGACCATAAACATGATTTTTTTAAATGTTAATTTCAGTTAATCAGTGGCATCATTTTAAAAAAAGTATATCACTGATTAACTTATATGTTGACTATTTTTTAATGAAAATATTGTTTTCTTTGTATCTTTTAAATCAGTTGATCAAAAATAAAAGTGTAAAAAAATTTCAATCTATGTAAGATTAGGAAATTAAGAAAAATGTATCATGGCTGATTACAGAGCTATAAATTCTATGTAAAATATAGATAGTATCTTTTCAGATTTTGTTGACAATGTAAAGCACAACAATTGCACAAGAAGCAAATCTGTAAATGTAAAAATCAATGGAAAACAAAGTGGGGTGGGACAATTCATAGGCAAAATAAATTTATGGGATAAAAAAAAAGAAATGAAGCTTGAACTTTTACAGAATTATAATTCAGAATTTTATTTTATTTTTTCAGTAAGCATAAACCTCCAGAAGTTTCCAAGAACTAAGGAGAAAGTCTTCCACTTCTCTTATGAACTTTAAATATATATTGTAAAATCAAACTTTGGCAAAGTTATATTTGATAACAGATCTTCCCAAACAATCTATTTAATTTTTTTCAATGTATACATGAACATTATATAAGAAATTAAAACATTTCATTTGGTCACTGATCAAACAATATGTATATGCATTCTAAAGTAAAGATGACAAGGCATTCTTCTCAGTAATTTTTTACATTCAGATGGTGGCCTTATTTGCTAAAGTTTATACATTAGAAAGTTTGAGAGATTTTGGTGGTAGTTGTTGGAAAGTTTAACATCAGTGAAAGATTAAAGTACAGTTTTCAAACATCCGTAATTTGATAAAACTAGAGAAAAACTCATTACAAGCCAAATAAAGTAGCAATTGAATTCATGACATTTCTTTTGTCTGAGAGGCTCAAAAAATGTTTGATATTTTAATTCACTTTTATATTTCATTGTTTTTCTTTATTCTTTGTGTATTAAATATATCTTTTTGCTATATTTTCTTATAGATATATAAAACATTTTTATAATTTGATAAGCTTTCTTACAAGTATATACCTGTGGCTATGCTATATAGTTTGGGTGGGATGGTATAACTACTGTGTATGTGTGTGGGAAATGGATGAAAATTTAGTGAAATCAAGATTGATATAAATTTTGCACAAATTATAATTTGGGACCTAATCTGAACCTTGTCAGTTTCAAGTCTTGAGTTATTCACCTATTCAGTAATATGTTTATAAAGTTAATACATGGACATGCACTGAAATGAATATTGATAAAATAATTGAATACTTTCAAATTAATTGACCAAGAAACAAAAATATACTGAAGAGAAAGGGGTGGGGGAAACAACTCATTTAAATGTCACTGTTGTGAGAAGATGTTTAGTTCATGGATAAATTATAATTCAATCAAATCATGGACCTTAAAATTAAGCCAAGCTGAATAACAAAATTGAAAAAATGTTACTAAATTTTATTAACCCATCTTTATTCCATTGCATCTTATTCTTTCATTCAATTGAAACTGCTTCATATTTTTTGGAAGAATAACAGCATTAGCAAAATCTCTTCAGCATTCTGATGGAATTTGAATGACATTTTAAAAAGTTTAGTTCTTATGTAACAATAGGCTACCATAATTCTGTTTATTGTAACAGAGTTTATCAATATCTGGCAAAGAAATCAAATAAGATTCCAGAAACGTGTTTGCTAAGTTGAACCCAAAGGGGAATCTAAAAAGTAGGATCATTACTGCTGTAAGCTACCATTTAAAAAAAAAAAAAAAATTTATGACTGTATTTACTTTGTGCATATATAAGTCAGGGTTTGGGAGTGGAAAATTTTATTAGAATGTGAAAGTGAAAAAGACCAATAAATTAAAACTTTAAACAAAGTTTGACAAAATATTTACAGAAAAACTACAAAGAGTTTATCTGCATTTTGTTCTAAAATAGAAAAGCAAAAATGTACAAAAAACAAAGTCTTGTACACATATGAAAAAAATTCATGAAGTTGATATAAATTTTGTAAATGAATTTTTGCTAATGTTAATTCTGTTTTAAAAAGCTTCAGAGATAGCTGATGGGAATTTTTTGCAATTAAAAATTATCTTTGTATATAAAAGAAATTTTCTTTACTAAATGTAATAAGAAAAAAAAATAATGTTTTTCTGAAGTTTTAAATATTTAATTTCCCTGTAAAACCTTTTGTACAAAGATTTATTTTTATGACAGCAAAATTTATTAAGTTAAATTTACAGATTGTTTTCTTATGAAGAAACCAAAAGCAGAAATATCCTTAGATTTGACAAAGCCATTCAAAATATAATACTTTTATTACTCTGGACAAATAAAAATGTTAATTTACTGTAAAAAAATAAAATAAAAATTGAAGCATGTAAACACTGTCGGCTGACTTGGGGAACAAAGAAAAATCTTTATTTCTGAATATAGTTATTCAGAAAGTTTTTATTTGAAAAGTAACTTTTGCAATATGTATATATAAAAAATCTATAATATTGTGATATCAAATGTTTGTGCTGATATTTCCAAGCAAAATCTGAAATTTGTGTATTGGAGACTGTACCAATAATTTTCAGTTCTACTTGAAGATTCTAGTTAGTTTTTTTTGTTTATCAAAATAATATTATTATTATTATTATTATATATGGTAGAAAAATATTGGAACTACAATTTATACTGTTTTCATAATTGCAAGAGAAATTCAGTTTCATTTTTTTTCCCCATGAAATTTCATTGCAGAAAATAAGATTTTAATGCTGATTGAAGTTAAGCAGTATATTCAGAACTAAAAATACAAGTATTTAAGAACCTGAATTTTATTATACTTGACACTTGGGGTGGGCAAAGCAGATACTTTTTAGTGCATCTTAGAATTAAAAAAGCAGAAAATATGTGAATTGTTGAATTTTCAGTTGGATTCAATAGCATATTCAGATGAAAATTCTCATTTTTCATCTATGATGAGCATGTTGATGGGATATAAATTAGCTCAAAATTTGCATCGAATCATTTATTTAAGTTTACAAAAATCAGGTAAGAAAAATGTGTTTGAGGTAGAAAGAAAAAACTGTCAAGAATTTTATGAAATAAAAACAAAAATTAAAAAGGTCAATTCATGGTAAAGAAAAAGAAAGAAAAAAAAGACAGCAAATAAGCTTAAGTGTGTTATCAAATATATCAAAAACAAAAATGAAACACCCAAAGCAATGTAAAGTAAATAGTTCTGATTTTTGACAAATTAATTTTATAACCTTTCAAATCAAAATCAATTAAAAAAGAAAAAAAAAATAATGTGTAAACTCCTTAACTTAAAAAAAAAAAAAGCTTCAAATTCAATAACTCAAGATTATAATAATAATAATAATAAAGACTAATATTTTTCTGTGTAAATAAATTATATGTTGCTTTCCTTTTCTGCTGAGTTTCTACCAGTTTAAAACTAACAGTGGCTTGGTTACCCTGCTTGACTTTGTCTTAAAGGCCCATTAAGAATTAGAAATCTGTTTTAAATTCATTTTAGATTAGAATTTGTCCAAGTTAGTAAGTGTGCATGGGGTGTTCACAACAGCAGAGCATTAGGGAGACATGCAACAGCATAACAACTAAATAAGCATACAAAATGTTCAAAGAAATAAAAAAAACCCCCCCCCAAAAAACCCCAGAAGTGTGTGATAATTTTACATTTGCTGATTCAGGGGAAAAAAAAAAGTAATGTAAATAATTTTCTTAATTTGTAATTATTTTTTGGTAAATGATCAGATATAATTAGGAGCATTTGGGGCAGTAGAGACTCATCTCT